CGATGCGTTGACCACCCCTGAGGCCTAAGATAGAATGGTTTCAAACCAGTAAAAAGGGTCTTAGGTTCTCTACATTGCACAACTTTTACACATGTATTATGTGAGAGTGTGATCCTTCCCCGGTTGAGCCAAACCATTCCTGTTGCAACCATAATATAGCTACAGTATGCGTTGTAACGTGAAAATTAATTTAATAATAACTTTATTATTAAATTATTATTTAATACTAACTTTTGAAGAACACGTACTTCCGTAGCACTGAAAAGTTTTTAAAACATAAATGATGGCGATGGCGATAAAAACACCGCAGATCTACATAGGGAGTAGTAGTGTTGGGATTGGTGGTGACGGGAATAGTGCAGGCAATTGAGGAAGGGCTTTTCAAAGTAGATAAGACAGTGTGGCCCCGTCTAGTGGTGGGTAACCCGAATGGCAGGGGGTGAATACCCACTAACCCATATCTACCCGTGGGTGTCGTAAGAGGCGACAGTGGGAAATTGGTGCAAAAGATGGACAGCAGCATCTTTCTAATAACAGCAAAAAGCAATAAAAACTGCGATTACCAACAAGCTCGGCAAGCGTGGCACCTATGGCAATATACCCCCCATGAGCGACGACACAAATAAACAGCCCAGAGTCCCCGATAGCTCCGCTATTCCTGGCTACGGTGGCGAACATGGTAACGACGGGGCAGGGGGTGCTAATAATCTCCGGTGGAAGTTCAGTTGCCACCCAAGACGACTCAACCTGGTAACATATAACGCACGCACCTTGAGGACTGACGAGAAGATCCTGGAGCTGGAAGAAGAGACAGACAAGTTGCGTTGGAATGTTATAGGATTATCCCAGGTCCGAAGAGAGGATAATACTTGAATACGGCAACTTCTTCTATCACAGGGAGAGCGACCATCGGTTCCATGGAGGTGTCGGATTTATCGTCCACAAGTCTTTCGTTAACGTGGTAAAGATTGGGAGTGTGTCAACGAGAGTTGCGTATATTTTACTCAGAATCACCAAACGGTGTTCGCTGATGATCATACAGGTTCACCAACCTCAGCAAATACCGATGGCGGGGGGGGGGGGGGGATGGAGGAAACGTATGATGATCTCTCGAGGATATCTCTAGAGCCATGCATTCCTCCAAAACCACTTTACGGTGTTAATGGGAGACTTCAACGTAAAACCAGTTATAAGAGAGGACGGTGAGCGAAAGTTGGGAAATTCGGAATAGGGCAACGGAACCGAAGGGGCCAGCAGCTGGCTGAATTTATGGAGAAAGAGGGAATCAGCATACGCACATCAACATAATCTAGGGATACTATAGTCCTAAATTATTTAAGACTTTATAGTTTAAAATATTTTTCTATATATAGATTCTATTTTCAAAATATAAAAATGTAAATTAAAAAACAAAAGAAAAAACAAAATACGGCGGCAAAATTGTTAGTAAATCGTTACTTCAAAGTAAATTAAAATTGTTCTACTGATATTAATTAATGAAAAGGGATTAGATTGTTTTTCTTATTTAATTTAATGTTCCTAATGTCATGTCACGTCGTCATTTGAGTCGAGATGAAATGTTACGAGCCGTGGGCATGTTGGTACTCGTAAATGGTGCTATACAACGCTTCGTTGTGAAGGCTTTACATACCAGCCAAAACGTGATATCAAGGTTGTGGTCACGTTATCACAGTACTGGGGATGTGGCTGAAGCTGAACGGCGCACGGGTTACTACGAAGAGACAGGATTCGATTTCTCCAAATGACCGCGAGAAGTTAACCCAATACCACAGCGATGCAACTACTACAAAGGCTCCAGGAGGACCACCAGCTGTTGGTAAGCGACCAAACCGTGCGAAGGAGGTTGGAGGAGGCTGGAGGTGAGAGGCACACTGAACCTAAACGTTAAGTTGGAGAGGTGTCGTCTAATGAAGTCAACGCTCCGTCCCCCTCGTGCTCTAATCCAATGTCCCGACATCTTTCAGCTCGAGTTACAAAACCGTTTTCAGTGCCTAGAAGACTGCAATGAAGTGTAGGATATGAATGACAAGCTCATGGAAACTGTCCATGCGGTTGGAGCTAAGTTCTGCAAGACCCGCTGCAGAAGGACACAAAAACTCTCCGATCACACTCTCAATGGCTCACGGCTGTTAGACGGGAAATGAAGCTACATTTTTCAACAGATTTGACAGCAAACAGGCAACTGAACAGACAGATCTCCAAATGCATGCGGCGGGACTTACGCAACTTCAATACAGCTTGTATTGAAGAAGCGATCAAGCGGAACCAAGGCTCCAAAGTCTTTGCCAGAGATCTGTCTGCCAGGAAGAGCCAACTTTCAAAGCTGAAGACCGAGTGTGGCAGCATCGTTTCCGGGGCACCTGAAATTTAGAGATCAGAATGGCTCTCGAGCACCATAAAAAAGTGCCAGACCCCTGACGAGGATGGAACTACAGCGGAGCTTCTGTAAGCGGGTGGAAGACCGGTACTTGACTGTTTTAACAGTGGTAGAGCCACGCGGCAGCTTTTGCTGTCGCACGGATGGGCCGGCTCGAACCGGGGTGGTACCACGACCTCACAGAATACCAGCGTGAAGTAGAGGTTTACCTCTGCGTTTCGTTTGGTGTGTGCAGGTGGCCGGAGGCACTTTTTACTGGAAATGAGGCATTCCATCTTAGTCCTCATGGGTGACAACGCATCTGCATTTTGATTCGCCAACGAGGATAGATGTAGATGTCTATGGGCCGCAGCAACCACTTACCATCAGATGGACTGTGTGCTAGTTTGTCACCCTTATTCTATAAAAAAAAACTTGAAGTCCTTCAGAAGCTCTTTAATTCCGTACTCCATGGTGACATTACACCCGAGGCGTTGAGCAGAAGTGCGGTGGTCTTGTTCTTCAAGAAAGGTGCTCAACAACGCTCTCTTGAAGAACTACAGACCGATTTCCCTTCTGAGCCGCGTCTACGTGCTGTTTTCGAGAGTCATTACGAATCGTCTCGCGCGCAGACTTGACGACTTCCAGCCTCCCGAACAAGCCGGTTTCCGAAAGGGATTTAGCACCATAGACCACATACATACCCTTCGACAAATTGTACAGAAGTCTGAGGAGTACAATTTGCCACTATGTCTGGCGTATGTGGACTATGAGAAAGCCTTTGATTCCGTCGAAATTTGGGCGGTGCTGCAGTCCCTTCAGCGGTGCCAAGTTGACTGTCGGTATATCGAAGTGCTGAAGTGATTGTACAGCTACGATGGCTATCCGAGTACAGAACCAGAGTACGAAACCTATCCAACTGCAGAGAGATGTAAGACAGGGTGATGTTATATCCCCGTAACTCTCCACCGCTGCATTGGAAGACGTTTTCAAGCTTCTGGACTGGAAAGGATTTTTTTTAATAGGATAGGGTGACAAACGAGCACACAGTCCACCTAATGGTAAGTGGTTGCTGTGGCCTATAGATATCTACATTTATCCTCATTTTCGAATCAAAATGCAGATGCGTTGTCACCCGTGAGGACTAAGATGGAATGCCTCTTGTCCAGTAAAAAGGGTCTCCGGTTCTCTACACTCACTATACGAAACACAGCAGTGTTAAGCTGCTATTTGACGCTGGTATTCTGTGAGAGCGTTGTCCTTCCCCGGTCGAGCCGACCCATTCGTGTTACAACTATACTACTAATATAGCTGCAGCATGGCTCTACCACGTTAAAAACGATACAGTTTTAACATCAATGGCGAGTACATCACTCACCTTCTATTTGCAGACGATGTAGTCCTTATCGCAGAATCGCCGGAGGATCTAAGCACCATGCTCAATGATCTCAATAGTGTCTCCTAACGAATAGGTCTTAGGATAAACATGGACAAAACAAAGATCATGTTTAAAGTCCATGTCACACCTATGCCGGTAGTTGTTGGGAGCACTAAGCTCAAAGTTGTTGACGAGTATGTTTACCTGGGACAAATAGTCCGACTAGGTAAGTCCAACTTCGACTGAGAGGTCAATCGACGGATTCAACTCGGCTGGGCAGCGTTCGGGAAACTACGACACATCTTCTCGTCAGACATACCTCAAAACCTTAAAACAAAATTGTACAACCAGTGCGTGTTACCAGTGATGACTTACGGAATTGAGACGTGGTCCTTCACTGCTGGCCGTATGAGGAAGCTCAAGGTCGCTCAGCAAACTATGGAGAGGGCTATGCTCGGGGTTTCTCTGCGTGATAAACTTAGAAATGAGTATATCCGCAGTAGAACCAGAGTAACCGACATAGCCCAACGGATTAGTAAGCTGAAGTGGCAGTGGGCCGGCCATATAGCTCGAAGAACCGACAACCGATGGGGAAGAAAGGTTCTTGAGTGGCAGCTTCGTACCGGTAGGCGAAGTGTAGAGCGACCTCTCACGAGATGGAGTGACGACCTGGTAAGACATGAAGGAAGTCAGTTAAGCTGCTATTTTACGCTGGTGCTTAGGCCAAATATTAACATTTTAAAAACTTGCATTCGAGACGCGCGTCTCGGCGTGTTCATTCGATGGAATTTAAGGTCACCACCGGCCTCCTCTCCCGCGCGGGTCTCTCGGCTGACCGCTCGGTCGCCTGACGTGTGGCGAGTTGGTCCGCGGCAGCCGTGTCGGTTAACGGTATGAAAGTTACGCTGGAATCGCTCAGTTGCGTGACGACTGCCTCTGATTGCGTTGTATTTTTCGTGTGTTTACGTGACAACGAGGCTTGTCTTGAGATTTGAAACGCTAAAAAATTGTGACCCGAGAGGAGATCGCGTTCGTTTTATATTATAATTTTGTGCTAAGTGACGTTAGACTTGAGTTCACATATAGGTGAACGCCCACTGGAGTGATCGCACATTGTGGAACACAGCAGCGCATGTGGGTCTACTGTCCGATTCCTGATGTCCGACAGTCGTCTCACGGATCTTAAAGCAAAAGGCGAGCTACTTTTTAACGAGAAAAATATCCGAGATACCCACAATTTTAAAAATGGTTAAATGTATCAATTGTCCTAAGCATATTAATAAGAAAAATCCTGGACTGCAGTGTTCAAAGTGTGGCAAGTGGCTTCATGCGTCATGTGCTAGCATTTCAATTGATCAGCTGACGGCTCTGTCAGCTACGGAAGCTGTGGACTGGAAATGTAAGGCATGTGTAGGGTCGCAGAAACCGAAGCGCCTCTCCTATATTATACCAGACCCTGATGAAGATGACGGTAAAACATCTGAGGCAGAGGGATCCATTACTGCTGCTTCGGGAAGAACAATGGACAATAAAATGCTGCAACTAGTTCTACAACAATTACGCACTGAAATAAGAAATATTATCCGAGAAGAGTTGCAACAAGCATTAAAATTTTATTCAGACAAAATTGATGAATACAGTGTAAAAATTAACAACTACGAGACTAACGTAAAAACGCTTGAGAAACAGTGTATTGATCTAAAAAACAACTTAAAAATATTAATCTTAAATGTAGTGTACTAGAGAGTAAAATAAATCAACTAGAACAAAACCAACTGATGTGTCAAATAGAAATTTGTGGTGTTAAGGAATTGGCTAACGAAGATCCGGTAAACATAGCTAAACAGGTAAGCCAAAATTACATAACTAAGGCATACCGTAAGAGAAAAAATCGCACTGAGCCTTCAAATAGGATAGAACATTCACCAATCATTGTTACGCTGCAAGATGGAGCGCGAGACATCTAACTGAATAAAGCCAAGGATTTTAAAATGACAGCGACCAAACTAGGACTGCAAGGTAGCGATAAGGTGTATTTACGTGAATCACTAGCACCTGGGATTGCATTTTTATTATGGAAGACCAAAGAAGCACTTAAAGATTCTTTCAAATTTATATGGTGCAAAAATAGCACAATTCTACGAAGCAAGGAAGAAAAGGCGAAAATAATCTCCATAAGCACTCTCTTTGAGTTAGAATCAGTTAAGGCCTCGCAAAATAAACCTATTAATTAGTAAGAAACAGTTTTAGTTGAGTGTTAAGTGCCTAAAAACGTTTTTCTTTTTTTTATCTCTCTTTTTATATATTATTGTTTATTATTTGTTTTTGTGCATTCTTGTTTAATATAATTTAAGTACCTTAGATAATGGATATTGTAGGAGGAACTTCACGGCCACTCAGCGGTCTGCTAGACCCTTCTCACCCCCGTTAGCTGAGCGGCCGCGACTGAAGTACCACTCTCACCCCTTTGGTCGGTACCGGTACTACGGGGTTCCTGCGACCTCGAATCTGTCGTCAAGGCCGAGGTTCCCCGAAGCTCCCCAGGTCGGCCATTTCGGTGATTTCCAACCACGGGTCATTGAGATGCCGCCGGAATGCCGCTTTCGGGACCCCCGGTTTGAGTGCCAGTCCGATGGAGGCAGCTCCAGCTAGGTAGCTGCCGCCCTAGCTCCCACCAAGGTCACCTACACTGACCCTTTGAGCCGTCAACAGTCCACTTGTCAAACTGTTCTATTGCCGACGGCCTCAGTGAAGGTGTACAACCCTAGTGGCGACTGTTGAACGGTTCGCGCTTTATTGGATTCAGGTTCACAACGCTGTGTGGCCTTCACTTGGTTGGTGGGAAGACTAGGGCTCCCCTGGAGCTCTGATTCACGTCCAATGGTAGGTATCGGAGGTGGCAAGCCTCCGGCTCCTAGGGGACAAGCAGAGTTGGTGTTTGGCTCTGCCAGCGAACACCTTCACATTCTGATGACATTGTAGGTTTTCTCCTTAACGTCCGTATAAATGACAGCGCGCTTCGTTGTGTGTCGGGTTTGAGACCGGCAGACCCCCAATGGTCTCAACCTGGGCCTATAGATTTGTCGCTGGGGGCCGACGCGCTGGGGTTCATCTTGTTAGGCGAGATACGAGCCCTACAGCCCGATGACTTGTCAGCCATGTCTACTGTATTTGAGCACAGCTTCTTTGAACCGGTTCTGTGGTCTCCACGTCCTCAGACGGCCGACCCGCTCTCTGTTGTGGGCGTGTCCCTTTCGAACGTCGTCCAGCGGTTCTGGGAAATTGAGGAGCCACCACACGTGTCTCGAGTCAACCCTCTGGACTGTGAGTGCGAGTTATTCTACCAGAACAATACCCGCCGTCGTGTCGACGGTTGTTTTGTCACTCGCTTACCCTTTCTTGACTCACGGCCCCCTTTGGGCCCATCTTGTACCCTGACCGAAAAGAGGTTGCTTTTCATGGAGCACCGTAGGCGGCGCAACCCAGCCTTTCGGACAAATATGTCGAGTTCAACTTCCAATGCCGTCCAACTTCGACTGGCGGTCACAGGAGCACTACTTCATCCCTCACCATGCGGTCTTGAGGACCCCTGGGAGTAAGATTCGGGTAGTTTTTGACGGCTCCGCCCCCTCGCCAAATGGTGTGTCCCTGAACCAGTGTCTCCACTCTAGTCCTAAATTGATCAAGGACATATCTGACATTTTGACCCACTTCCGTCGGCATCAAGTGGTTTTTGTAGCCGACATTCGGATGATGTTTCGACAATCAGTGGTCCATCGTGATGACCGTCGATATTAGCTGATATTGTGGCGCGAGAAGCCCAGCGATCCGATACAGGTGTTTGAGTGTAACACCACCACCTATGGACTCCGGTCCAGCGCATATATCGCCATGCGAACCCTCCTCGAACTCGCTGAGAGGGAGCGTCTAAAATACGGATATATATATACGGATATAAAATACTTTTGGAGACTTCGGTCTACATGGACGATATTTGCACGGTCGCCTCCACCGAGGAGTCGAGTCGAGGAGGCTCTTGTACTGCGAGACGAATTGACTGCCATCCTGAAGTCCGGAGGTTATGAGTTTTTTTTTATAGGATAAGGGTGACAAACGAGCACACAGTCCACCTGATGGTAAGTGGTTGCTACGGCCCATAGACATTTACATCTATCCTCTGTTACAAATCAAAATGTAGATGCGTTGTCACCCGTGAGGACTAAGATGCCTCATTTCCAGTAAAAAGGGCCACTCACCAAGCAAAACGCAGAGGTAAACCTCTACTTCACGCTGGTTTTCTGTGAGGTCGTGGTACTACCCCGGTTCGAGCCTGCCCATCCGTGCGACAGCAAAAGCTGCCGCGTGGCTCTACCACTGTTTGCGCAAATGGTTGTCGAACTGCCCTCATATTTTGAAGGATCTCCCAGGGGAGGATCAACAAGACCCTCATCTATTCGAGCACCCTGAAAATCCTAATTTGTTGACTGTGCTGGGCATTTAATATCAGCCTGTTCAGGATACTTTCACGTATCGAGTCACACTCGATCCCCCACCTAAAGCGTGGACCAAGCGCTTCGTGCTGTCTACAGTAGCCCGCACCTTCGATCCTAGTGGATAGATCACTCCGGTCATTTTTTTGGCTAGGTGCCTTCTTCAAAAGCTCTGGATACCCGGGTTGGGTTGCGACGAGCCTATTAGCGGTGCTCTCTTGCGAGAGTGGATCTCCATTGTGTCCTCCCTTCCGGACATCAACCGGGTTTCCATGCCAACGTGCTTCCTCCCTCCAGGGAAATGCAGGTCTACCCTACATGGATTTTGCGACGCCTCTGGGAAAGGCTATGTTGCTGTACTATATTTGCGGTCTGTGAGCTCTTCTGGCCATACTTCCGTCCATCTCGTACTTGCTAAAAGCAAGGTTGCTCCCATTAGGTCCCGCTTAACTATCCCTAAATTGGAACTGTCCGGAGTCGCTCTTCTCACGCGACTCCTCAACTACGTTCACTCGTCTTTGAAGTCTGTAATCGACATTACGGACGTCTATGCGTGGTCGGACAGTGAGATAGTACTTTGTTGGCTCAGGGCTGCACCTCACAATCTTAAGGTCTTTGTGGCGAACCGCGTGTCTCAAATCCAGAATTCTGGGACGTCTCTAAACTGGAGACATGTCCCATGGGAGTTGAATCCCGCAGACTGCGCTTCTCGCGGCTGTGAAGCCCCCTCGCTGGTTGACCATCCACTGTGGTGGGGTCCTAGTTGGTTGACTGAGTCTCAGTCATTCTGGCCCCACAATAAATACTCCGAACCGATTGAATTGCCTGGCCTACGAGCCCGAGTAGGATTGGGCAAGGATAAGCCCACTCGGGATTTACCTGCTAGAACGGTTTAGCTCTCTCGATAAGCTCTTAAGAGTGACAGGTTGCGTTGATTTGTCCGCAATTCGAGAGACCCGTCCAAACGAATCTCTGATTCCGTTTTGTCCCCTAGCGAGCGTCTCGAAGCTTTGATGCATTGGACCCGTATGGTCCAAGCGGAGCATTTTGAGCCTGTGATTGAAACTTTGAAGCGGGGCTCCGTTGTCAAGGGCGCTCTGGCCCGTCTGAACCTCTTCCTGGACGACGCTGGGATAATGCGCTTTGGCGGACGTTTGAAAAATTCTCAACTGCCGTACGGGGCTCGACAGCCGTTACTGCTCCCTAAGGACGGCGCCTTTGTTCGGTTGCTGGTAACTCACCGTCATGTTATGAATGCCCATGCTGGGTGTAACGCTCTTTCGGCTGTTTTGCAGCGGGAGTTTTGGATTTTGGCTGGCCGACGCACCATTCGGAGCGTCCTCTTTAAGTGCATATCTTGTTATAAACTGAAGGCCACCATATCGCAGCCTATGATGGGTGACTTGCCACCCGATCGCGTCAGGCCCATCCGACTATTCGCTGGAGTCGGAACAGACTTTGCTGGTCCCTTCCTCGTCAAGTCCTCCTACCTTCGTAACGCGCGTTCACATAAGGCCTATCTGTGCGTTTTCGTGTGCTTCGCCACTAAGGCCGTTCACTTAGAACTTGTAAGTGCCCTCAGCACTGAAGCCTTTGTAGCCACGCTGGGCCGCTTCGTATCGCGTTGCGGTTTGCTGGAACTGATCCGGTCTGCTTGCGGAACGAATTATAAGGGCACGGATAGATATTTGAAAGAGGTCGTCGAGTTTCTGTCCAGCAACAGGACCTATTTAGGTACTGCGATGTCCTAGAAGGGCATCCAGTGGAAATTCGACCCTCCGGCTTGCCCACACTGGGGCGGTATTTTTGAGGCGGTGGTTAAGGTTGCAAAAACGCATCTCCGTCTTGGCGAAACTAATTTGACATTTGAGGAGCTTGCCACTTTATTCTGTAAAATTGAGGCGGTACTCAACTCTCGGCCCCTCTGTCCCCTCTCATCCGATTCGAATCATTTGGAGGTTCTAACCCCGGGCCACTTCCTGATTGGTCAGCCGCTTAACGCCCTGCATACACAAAATCGTCATCCATCTTGTTTGTCGTTTTACAACGTACTGTGGAGAGTGGAGAGATGTGTTTGCAAAGCAGTGTGACCATCTTTAAACCCTGCCCGAGTACCCCTTCAGGGAACTAAACTCTTCGCGGTTGAGCAGATTTGACCTGCTGCAACAGATGACTCAGAGTTTTTGGCACCGATGGTCTCTGGAGTACCTACATCTCTTGCAGCTGCGCGTTAAGTGGTCTGACAAGATGGAC